GTCTACATGGAACATGTTGCAAAACGTCTGGAAGTTAACTGAACTGATCCCACTGAGCACCTTTTAGTCCAGATTGAGCACATTAGAGATTACTCCATTGAATTGTGAATGTTTTTAATAGTGAGTGATTGTATTGTGTTTTAATTGTGTAACTCTATGTAAATGTATAACTTTTGCTGCCTCTTGGCCAGGACTCCCTTGAAAAAGAGGTTTTTAATCTCAATGGGACTTTCCTGGTTAAATAAAGGAAATAATAAATAATAATTATCAAATAAAGTTTAATGTTACAGCTAATCGTGGATCCCTTTAAAAGCACTACATCATTTTCTTAGTTTTCCTTTTTAAGTATTGACTGTTACAATCCATTGTTTAAGTATTGTTACGTCTTGATTAAAATAGTTTAGATACAAGGCCCGAAACATTTTTACAACACATAAACCGTTTCTAATACATTAGGTGAGTATTGTTGTTCAGAGTGCCTGCGATTCAGCCATGGGCCAGTAGGGGGCGGACCAGGCACTGAAGACACTGTATAAAAAGGACCGGAAGTTCCGGGTTGCTGCTCAGATTGCTTCTAGCGTAGCAATAAAGCTTCGCTCGTAACCAGATCTGGGTTGTATGGTCCCTATTCTTGTCACATTTTAATCTTTTCAATATTTACAGGTTTCGTCTCGATTCCAGTTAATGAACACTTAAAATTTCTTACAGCCGCCATGTTTGTAATGACTTATCACGAGAACAAATGTATTCACGTGTGACCTTTAATAGCATTTCTTACTTAATGGAAACACCGCATTTGCAAAACTGTGTTTTTTCGACATTAACAGAATATCTACAAAGTTTTGTGCACATTTGCAATGGAAACGCGGCTACTGACAAATCCAYGCGTCACGTGTTTGTCTCTGCAGACGGGCTGTCATCACCTGTTCAATTATTTACAGGTTTGTTCTTTCAGTAAAAATTCATCTGGATGCAGCGACGGATCGCTGAGGCTGCGGCACACCGGATGTGTTCTCCAAGCCAAATAAAAAGCAGATTTCGTCTCATTTGGTGCTGATGAAAACTGATGATACTTTGTTTTATGTGGCAGTATTTCACTGTTTATAACCAGCTGCCTCAGGTGTCGAGACATTTATAGAAGCGATGCATTAGTAATGAGCAGAAGATTCACAAATTATGCATAATTTAAAGCTGCCTTGGCGCGTTTGTGTTGATTGAAGGCGTTTAAAAGTCGCTGCTCGACTTGGAGATAAGATTTTTCTTCCYTGTAGCAAGTGCAAGGTCGGCTGATAAAACACACGTGTGGATGCACCCTGCTCCGACTGCAACACACAAACCCAGGAGCACTCCTACATGGACATTTATTTCTATTGGGAGTCAGTGAAGCACATTACTGACTCAATAAATACCTTGTTAAGCTTGAAACACCAGTCACGTTCGTTACGCTGAACTCTTTTGGTAATTTTCAGAGGAAATTAGTCCCATTTTCTGTGCCTGCGCGCTTGTGAAAAACGAAGCAGGTGCTTTTGCACAAAAAAAGGGTTTGATTTAAAGCTTCATGCACAGATGTTCCCTAATGATCTGTCACTCACCTTCCACCACTCCTCGTTAGAGTCGTCTGTGACCTGGACCCGATCGCCAGGACTGAAACAAACAAATTAAAAACATAGGAAGAGATGTTAAAAAAGTGTGAGGAGGATGGAGTGGAGAAGAAAGCAGAGCTGAGAACACGCACAAAAGATGACATTATCTAACAAAGCACAGCTGCACTGCAGCACCCGCAGCTACACAGCTGAGGCAGGTAAAATACACGCGACTCTTTGTATCTTTTTTTTTTTTTTCAGATTTGACACTGAAACTCTACAGATGGGGCTTGATCTTCAGCCGACCCAACCTGACCTGCATTTTAATCACTTTACCAGGTTTGGAYGAGACTTTTCTCTGTGCACAGCAGCACCCACTGTCCCAGATACATGGTTAGAAATCATGTCCCCATTGCTTTCCTGCACATCAAATCTCCAGGCTGCCCTACATGATCACAGCTTCTGCACAAAAATTAAACCAATTTAAGTAGATGTTGTTAAATTGCTAATTTTGCAGGGCTTATTCCTCTAAAACTCTTTATTTTTAGCTTTTTTTGCATGCAGCTTTAAGGTATGTGATGAACAGTGGGATTAACCTACTTTAACTGATGACTGCTTGATGGCAACAAAACACTTGTATATAATATTTTCAGATTTGGACATGGCGCTAAATTTACAGAGACTTTTGAGTTAAGCAATTAGTCGTCATCGTGGCCTACATAACRGTGTCCTGAAGCATTAGATTTATACAGATCATTTTATGTTTTCATAACCGTGTTCATATTAGGAGTTAAAGGAAAAAGTCAATACGCTGAAATATTGTGATATTTCATTTCCTGATACCGCATCAATCCTCAGAAGTGCTGTATTGATTTKTAATTAAGGTTTAAAGTGTCTGTGACATCAATTTTTTGTAATAAACATCAATGCATTTTTGGAAAGACAACATTAATAAAATATTGCTAAACAAATTTCACGCTGCTGAGATGAACGGTTGTTGAGATATTGGCATGTGAAGAAACAGGAAGTGATGTCAAAGGGGAATGTCTGCATGTAAACGGAGTGTTGTTACAAAAACTAACAATACAGACTGTAGAGAAGAATCTGATGTTTCTTTATATTATTTTTAGTCGCTATCAAATAGAGACGAAGAAGAGTCAAAGTTTAAATGATTTTGTTTTAATAAACAAAGACCAGTGAGTTTATTTTATTAATGAGTTCCCCTTTGATGTCACTTCCTGTTTCACTTGGCTGAAACAAATTTAAACGAAAAAAGGCCAGTTATGTGACAAAATGGGTAAAATCRTGTGTACTAGGACAAGTTTCTTAATGGACTGTTGTTAGGTGTTGTTCTGATTTAATTTCTTATCTAATCAGATTTTATAATATGTAATGAGTTTTTTTATTAGAAGCTGTTGGAGAAAAAAATTGTGATATATTGCAATGTATCATATCGTGACTCTGCATCATTATTTGTATTATATCACCAAATTCTTGCCAGTACACAGCCCTAGTTCATACGTAGTCTCAATCTGGTCAGATTTTAACAATCTCTCTAAACAAGAAAGAGCTATCTACAACAGGTAAGAYATTAATTGTTCATAACACTTCAACAGAACTCCAGATCCAAACATCTTATTGGCCACTTTAAGCCTGATTTGTTCTTGTTGCGTGGATGTTCTGAATCTAAAACAGTCCATTCAGYTGTTTTCCTATTTTTGTTTCCTGTGCTTTTCAGTTGCTTCTTGTAAAATTTGTTCTTTTAGATTTACACACTTCAACAGAAACTTTTGTAAAACTGACTGATTCTCGAGTTTTTCATCTTTTCCCRTCCTGAGTGAAGCACATTTACCTGTCATTAGCTCACACACACAAAAAGACAGAACACAGATGGCTCCTAATACTCCCAACAGTCCCAATGTACTACCTGTGTGAAAGCTGTCCTCTAATCATCTATACGCCATTGAAAATACCCTCACACCACAAAACTTTCAGCCCTTAATCTTCTTGCTTCGACTTTCATCTTATTGAGCTGCTTCTTTGATATTTGCACTTTGCTTCCTGCGCCCATTTCTCTCATCCATCCTCTGTGTATCTTTCACTTCCACGTTGTTTCCCTTTATGTCTGCCCTCCCTTTCATCTCTCACTTCTTCATTGTCTCCATCCTCTCCCCTGCAGAGAGCTCAGCTCAGTCACTACTTCTGTGGGAACAGAAATGGGGTCTGAGTTTATAATTAGTTGTCCTTAAGGGGAAAGAGAGGGGGTGCGGGGAGGGGGGGGGATCGTCCTCTACAGATGGCGGGAACATTTCATCCTGCAGGAACAACCGCTGGGGTAAATCACAGGGACGGACTAAACACAGCCTAAAGCAGCATGCACACACAGAGAGAGGTTTGTTTTTATATTTCTGTGGGGGCCGTGGATTGACTTCCATTCATATTTCTGGTCATTTTATAGCCTAACCCTGACCATTTACACTAAAATTAACCTCACCTGACCCTAAAACTAACCTAAACTCAATTCAAACCTTGGTCCTAAACCGAACTTCCCACCCAAAATTAGCATCCTTACCCGTGGGGATCGGGTCCCCACACTGCTGCCATTTTTCTGGTAAATGGTTCCCATGATGTAGCAAAAATGTGCCCACACAAATACACACACACCCATGTACTTGCATCAAACTGAGGACTTCGTATTGACTTCCATTCATTTTTGTAACTGCATTTCATGCCTAACCCAGACATTTTCCCTAAAACTAACCATTACGRGTCTATTCCTAACCCTAAYCTGAACCAAACCTAACTCATYCACGTCAAACCCCTTGAGCATTATCGTTACCCTCAAAGGACCATATGCAATAAACTCTAAYGTTTCCTTTTTAACTTTGACTAAACATGACATGTCACACTCCTTGGCTGAGCATTGCTAACAAACAATAACTAGGCTCTATGTGGTATTTCATGTATAGAAACAGTGTTTTAAAAAACCACATATCTTAAATGTAAATCCCTTCAGACGTTTACCTGTATAATGAGCCTGAAAAATCTGTAATTTTCACAAAAATTTCATATTATTCCCATGCGCTCGCAAGTGTACGTAAGTGGACTGTCGGCAGCGGCGATGACATCATCTGTAGCGCAAAGCGGGAGGAAAGGTTGTAAGATGGTTATTTGATGTTATTTATTTATTTATTTATTTTACATCCGACATGCTCTGATATGTAAAGTAAATATGAAACTAAGTTTTGGATAAAATCTGTAAAACTTGAGAAATTCCATGAGATTGCTCTAAACGTCCGTATTCCTGCAAAATGATAGAAAATCCATGTAAACTACAAACAATCCATAACTCGACAYGTATGTCTTATAAACACTAAAGTAGCTGACGAAAATGTAGCGAAATGGAAATTTCACATGGCAAACTTTGCTGGCTACTTGGTTAAATTTCAAACCTGGGCCTTTCCACCTAGTGGTGAGATGCCGTCATTACATGAAGAAAATTACTGATGCATTTGGGAKATGTAGTTTATGGTCAGCGCTGGCTTTTTTTAAAGACATTAGTACGTTTTTTGAAGTTCGCGCTGGCCACATAAAATTATTTGGCCCGCGGGCCTTATATTTGACACATGTGCTTCAAACATGACTAATAGAGCACGGCAGAACTGCAAAAAAGTGAGGGCTGGGAAAATGTCCCTACTTCTCAAAAATGTCCTCATTTTGTTGTTCCAAACATGACAGTCCTCACTCTGTAGCAGAAACAAGTACACACACACCTACTATGTCTCTCTATCCTTGTGAGGACTTTCCATTGACTTCCATTCATTTTTTAGAAATTTTACAGCCTAACCCTGATCATTTACTCTAACACAACCTGACCCTAAAACTAACCTCAACTCAATTCAAAACTTGGTCCTAAACCTAACAATAGTCCTGAAATCAGCCTCCAAAGTTGTGGGGACTGGGCTTTGGTCCCCACAAGGAGCGTTCAGTCCCCGTAAGACTGTATTTTTCTGAAAAATCATCCCCACCAAGTGGCAAAAACGAGGGCACACACACACACACACGAGGTATGAAACCAGTTTGTTGGACTCACTGCAGTTCCAGGTCATTGTGTTCCTGAGGCAGAAACTTGTAGAGAGCTACATAGGTGTGGATGGAGTGGACTTCAATACGTTTGGGCACCTGGACACAACGAGGTTCAKAAAACGAGACAAWAAAATAAATAAAAAYAAAGTAAAATGCAGACTTTAAAATTAAAACAAYAAAAGCTGACTTCCACAGAGCGCTACCTTTGCACAGGTGTCCTCTGCAGGAACCTGAGCCTGCTCGCCGCTCTGCTCTTCATCCTCTTTCATCTCATTCTCTGGGACAGGGGGGTCTGGAAGGGCTGGGGGATTTTCTACGAAAGGAAGAAAAGACCCTCGCAATCACACAATTAGCTACTTTTTACAGCCAGCCACAGACTTGCTCTCACGCCGGCAGTCAGGCACATGTAAACACAGCACAGACACAGACGACACACTCGTTACCCCCTGCCTCCTGCGTCGTCTCCTCCTCCTCCTCCTCCTCCATGCTGCTCTGCCTCTGCTGCCTCTCTTCGCCTCCCTCCCCCTTAAAGATGAAACACAGGAAACAATGATAAAAATATGAAAATATTCTCTTTTAAAACTAGTTTAGGTCTAATTAACTGTTTACATCTCCGACATTAAACACTAAAAACATAAAAGTGACCGTCAGTCTTCACTCACAGTTYAAGAATAATTAAGAATTAAATTATAGTTTTTGCACAACAACTGTTTGAGTTTTATGTTTTAATCTGAGCCACTTGAAGCAACTTTTCATCTTTTAATCTCGGCTAACGCTACAATTCTTACACCATAATTTAACATATTTTTTTAATTAGATGGTATAAAAGTTAAGTTAGTTCATATTATTTTGATAAAGGTTGAACACATTTTTGGAGAGGTGGGGAGTAGTGAGGGATTGGCTTGGAAGTAAGAGCAATTAGGCATAAGAGTTGGGCAATTTAGCGAATTATAGCTGATGTCCCATTAAGTGTTTAAGAAGGATGTAACACAGACATATAATAAAACTAAAACCTTTAAGATAATWACATCAAAGATCCTGCAGAAATTCAAGAAGTAAATTTTAAACTAAACAAATAAAAGACACGTAGCCGGGGCACTACATTTGAGCACAGTCGGCTTGTTATGAAGGCAGGTGCACCGGCACTTAGATTTAAGGTAGATTGCCGAGGATCACATCATGCTGACTTAACACYGACCCTGGCTGAGGCATGTCTCTCCTGAAAGCTGTCTCTTTGGTAGTTTTACATTATTTTAATCACTCCTCTTGATTTTAAGTTAGATCCTTTGCAGTTTTCCCTTCAATTTGTTTTGCAGTTAGTTTGGCCTTCATGCATACCAATTAGCTTCAGCTGTTTTATTCTTATTATTATCATTARCTATTACTTATGATTATTTGGATTTTGCTTGTTTACCAGCAAGAGGAAACCCTGACATCTAACCCTGGGTCATTTTAAAGGGGATTTTGGTTCAGAGCTGTGTTCTTGGGCGAGTTTGTATTTCTTTGTCGTGCTCACCAGGGTTTTTAGTGTGAGTGCGTTTTTGTTGGGGAGCACCCAGGTGTATTTATCTTATTCTTTAATTCCTCCACCCCAAGCAGTCTAGTTTATTGAATAGATTTGAACTAATCTCAGCTGGAGGTTCCCAAGGCCGGTATATCTCTCTGTTTTAAATCATTTTTGTAACATAAAATATTTTATGATCATCCCAGCCCTCAGACCTGAGCATTCCTTTATACTATTGTGAAACAAATAAAATGTATTTAATTTGAAAGCAAATGCCTCTGTTGATCCTTTAAGCTCATCCGTGTAAAGCTTTGTTAAAACAAGAGTTTGAGGTTCTCCCAGCACCCAGAGGTAATGGTGATCGTACCGTAGGTCGCACACATCTTATAGAAATGCTAATCAGGTAGCTAAACATAAAACAGTCTAACGAGTGAAGTTTTGTGGGTTCTAAATCTCTGCAGGGTGTCAGTAAARTTTGTGGGTGAGCCGTCGGGTGGATRAGTTGAGTTAAACTCTACTTTAAGTTTKGAACATTCATTCGTCCTCTCTGCACATCCGCGAGGTAACGGTGTCGTACCAGGCTGTGTGTCGGCGATTCTGACAAACTGCCAAAACTGGAACGGCTCATCTGTGCCAAGGACGTCCCGTAGCGCAAGGCAGCGTACACAGGGTCTACACGCCTCCGCTCAGCCTCTGAAAGCACACACACACACACACACACACACACACACACAC